TGAGTAATTACAGAGCAGATGTCACTACAAATGTCTATCCCCTTGATTCGTAGGATTCCTAAAAATATTTTAGCATGTGTTAACCACTTAATATGAAGCCCGAATAGAGCAAATGCTAAATGCAATTAATAAGCATGACTCATTTTTGGTTTTGTTGATGGTGGTGTTGCTTTGAGACACAGTCTCCCTAGAGTCTCACCTGGCCTAGAATTCAGTATGTAGCTCAGGATGGCCTTGATCTCACAAAGATCTGCTGCCTCTGTCTCCCAAGTGCTACGATTAAGGTTGTGTGTCACCATGCCTGGCTAGGCATGATTTACTTATTTATTTATTTATTTATTTATTTATTTATTTATTTAATCTATATGTTTTACCTGAATGTAAGTGCACCTATGTTGTATAATGCCAGAGGCCAGAAGAAGACCTCAGATACCTTGAAAATGGGTTACAGACAGTTGTTAGCTGCCATGTGGGTTCTGGTAATGGAACCCGGGTCCTCTGCAAGAGCAGCTACTTCTCTTAACCACTGAGTCATCTCCCTAGCCCCTAGACATGATTCCTGATGGTTCAGATACCTACTAATTCATAGGAATTTTAACTGTTCCTCTTAAGAATTAAAAGTAATTGTGAAAGACGATTGTGATTATGGAAACGTACTTCTACACACACACCCAAAGGCTACAGAATTTTGTTTAAAGACAGAAATCCATGGTTTTATTCTATTTATAACAATTCTGAGTCTGTGCCTAGCTGAATCAGTGAAGCATGCCCCACTGGCCGTGGGAACAAATCATCAAAGAAGTATGCCTTTTCTTTCAAGGTTTAACATTAGACCCTGTGTTTATTTACATACAGGTAAGGACACAGGGAAAAAAACTGCTGAAAGAAAGTCCTGAGTTTCTTAACAGTAACTTTGAATCAAATTGCCCGTACTTTAGGATATGATATCCTTAACTGCTCATTTCATCTGAAAGTTTTAGTTTTTAATGTTCGGGTTTTCTAAATGTCAGGGAAACATATTATTTTGTTTAAATCCCATATACAGCATTGTTAACCCTGAGTCTATTTGCAAATCAAGCCTTGATGCTAATGACAGGGCCAGTTCTTCTGAAGTTACATGGACCTGGAGAATACTGAAAGCCAGATTCTCCAGGAACAATTACTTTTTGTGTTAACAATGAGGAATTGTTTGTCATTACTTTGAAAATTTCTATTAGCTGTAGGTCTAAGTGATTAAGAGCCTTAGGACACAGAATAGAAGGAGACATGTAAAACCTCATGGATTGACTATATCCATTGCTATTGGAAGCAGATCACCTTCCATTGACTTTTGGAAGTCCTGCATAGGTTTTCTTATCCCTCCTGAGGGCTGGGGGAACCAGAAATGGATTCCAAAAATTATGAATTATCAGCAAGATCAGTTTTAACAGTGACTGAATCATAAAAACGAATGCATTTAAAGATGCAAAATTTAGCAAATTAGGAGTGGTTGCTGGGCCCAGAATTATTGTGGTTAATTGATGGACTCATGGGTTGATTTAGTCCTTTAGTGAAGTAACTCATTCCCCACCCGTTTGTCATGGAAGAGCTGAGATTGCATTTGTGCTCTGTCTAGAGTCGGTCCTGCTCTTGTTCAAGAAAGGTGTCACCCATTTAGCCATCTCTCGAGTGTTCTCCAGAACGCTAGGTTCTCTTGCTTGGAAGGAATATTTTTGTCATGCATGTCGATACAGAAGATCAGCAGAAAACAAATATTGACAGATTGGTGCCTGGAAAACAAAAAGAGCAGGTATACAGGTCTTTGGGGGGGAGCCCATTCTTAGAATGGAACTGGATGTAGAGATGGAATAGGGCAGTGGAACCAGGAACACCCAAGACAAAGGGGAAAGAAACGTGTGCAATAAAGTAGAACCTAGAGAATGCCTAAAGGAAGAATAAGGCCCCTTTCAGCGTGGAGGTACTGCTTTCCCTGAGAAAGAATTTTCAGCTTTTTTTCTGACTCATATTTTTACATCATAATGTTTGATTCATAAAAATGAAATTATCTGGGCCAGCGAGATGGCTTAGTGGGTAAAAGTACTTAACACCAAGTCTGACAACTTGAGGTCTACCTCTGGACTCACATGCTAGAGGGAGAGAACTGACTCCTAGAAGCTGTCATCTGACCTCCACACACATACACAACATGGCATGTGCATGCACGCACACACACACACGTACACACACACACATGCACAGTCACACACACACACACACACTAAATGTTTTATCTGTCTTAGAATTGGGATACAACTCCACTAACATTGGATGAATATATATTTTAGTGTCTTTTGTAGTTATACTTTGTTTTCATACATTTTCCCTATGGACCTTTGACCTTGTTGTCTGGCTTTCGGTAACTGACAGCAGCTCATGAATTTTCATTAACTCTCCAGATTTCTATTCAATCCTAGTGACCAAAACTCTGCAAAAGCTATTCTTGTTGCAGCTCCTCGTTGTCAAGTCGCTAACAGTTTCTAAATGAATATATATTATGTGTGTTTTCAACTATTTCATGATCTTGTACATGTCTCTGGAATTTTCCTAATTATACTTTTCCAAAAAATTTTAATACCAACAATATACTGTATATTCATTTATGCAACATTGTTATTTTGGAGAATCATAAAACATTATTCCTCACCCTAAATCATTTTTCTTCTGTACTGGGGGAGCTGAAGAGAGCTCATGCTTTAAAATCAAATGATGGGACTGGATAAATGCCTCAGTGGGTGAAAGTGCTTAATACTCTGTCAGAGGACCTGAGTTTAGTTCCCAGCACCCACAGTCACATATGTACATGCACACACACACACACACACACACACAATTAAAAATAAATCTTTTAAAAAGGAAAATATAATACAAATCAAATGATGATTGTGACCCTTCCAAAATGATAGGTATCTTTTCCATCCATGTAGCTTGCATGAATTCCTTCACCACGTCCTTCCCCTAGGAAATGGGAAGAGGACTTGAATTGGGCACCCTTAGAGTAACAAACATCCAGGAAATATTCTATTCTCTGTGGCTCATAGGTATAGCTACTAGCTTCAGCAGCTGGTACAGTGCAATTCAATAGTGCCTAACTGGGGGGGAAATGTATTTTTCAAATTGCTTTATCTACTAACTTTCAGCAGGAACAGAGTGTAAAGAATATCCTTGTCAGATTTAGACTGAAGATCAATAGTGTGCCTTAAGTCACCTGCTCTCACTGTCAAGGCAAAGGAATGAATTACCTGATGTGCTTTTTCTACTTTTTTTCTCATTTGTTTGTTTCTGGTCATCCTACACATGATCTGTCTATTTAAAAAAAAGAGAGTGTTTTCTTGAAATGCTAGGCATATGAGTTGTTTTGTGTGTTTGTCTCCTAGGGCTGCCATAACAGGCATGGACTGCGGGGCTTAAAGAGCAGAAATTCATTTCCTCACAATTCTGAAGGCTGGGAGTCTGACAGCACAGTGTCAGTAAAGTTAGCTTCCTTGTGGCCTCTTTTCCTGACATACACATGGCCATCTCCATTCTGCATTTCTATACCATCTCTTCCTTTGATATGTCTAAGTGCCTAATTTCCTCTTTTTATATGGACACCAATCTTACTCAATTAGGACCTATCTTAATGTTTTCATTTTAACTGAAGTATCGCATTATGTCCTATGTCCAAATAAAGCCATGTTCTGAGGTATGGGGAAGTCACAATTCAAGCTATAACATCTATAAGATAAGGTATAGAAAGGTCTGTGATGTGTCATAAGCACTCATGTTAAGCAGGGTGTTTCTGTTAAATTGCCACTTGTTTCTTACTCACTGTATATTCTTCAGCAAATCAGCTAACTCCTCTGACTTCTGGTCTCCTTAAATATGACATTCATCCCTGTCTCAGTGGATACTTTGGCAAGTCACATCTAGTACTTATGTATACATATCAATCATAGGAACTGACTTATGGTAGTTGTTCCAAAATAAGAGAAATCATTTTTCTTGCCTTTTCTTCTTGAATGTGGATCCAGACTTCAGTGTATTAGGAATAATAAGATCAGCAACTTAGTTAACGTTATCAACCATAAGAAAATAAATGAAATGAGTGTTTATTTTTAAAACTACAATTGTCTGAGTATTCCTAAGCACAGTAAACAAAGGTGTTTGGGGCTTTAGAGCTGTAGGTATTTCATTCTTTCATCAAGCCTTCACTAGTATTTGCTGCACATGTGATATATATTATGCCCATGTGATATATATTATTCATAGAATCCCCCTCACCTATTATGTGGTGAGGGTCCTTTTCACTGCAGATACCCACAGTCTGGTTGTATTTCTTATAGCAGATTTCCTAGCATTGGGAAGTTTCTGCAGAACTAAATAAATGGTCAGAAGTTGAACTAGTGTCACAGTGGACATTCGTCCTGCTCTCTTCAGCAAGAGCCTCATCTATATCCAGGGCTGTCATTCAGTTTCAGTCTGCGGGTCTATACTACTGATTCAGCTAATTGCAGCAATTATGGGAAGGGATCACTGCTAGCAAGAGAAGCTATTATGCTGTACTGAACAAGCAGCATTCCACAGTGTTCAGTAATTTTGCTGCCTATGGATTCTCAGTCGCCCCACAGTGCATATGCATCCACACACCCCATACACTGAAACCCTCTCAGAGCACAGTGCATGACTGAATTGACTGGATCCTTCCATTGCCCAGTCTTTTGATTCTTCACACTCTCTTAATCAGACTGGGAGAGAACAATGTGATTTTCTGGGGTGGGATAGGCTTGAATCTCCTGGAGCCACTTTGTGTCGCTCGGTTTTACAGGACACAAACAGACAATCTGGACCAAAGAAAGGAAAAGCAGACACGATGGGAGGTGGCACTGACAAAACTGCAGTGTATTTGTATATTTGTTTCCTTATTTTTCTCTCGTTTTTTTCTCTCTTCCCCCATCCCATCCCTTTTCCTTTAATATGACCAGCCAACATCAGATGACCTTGTATCATCTGCTGAATGTTCAAGTGATGACGAAGACTTCGTTGAATGTGAGCCGAGTACAGGTAGGTCAGGTCAGTCTTGTTTTGCTTGCTTCCTTTTTTATTTGCAAAAGACAATACATACATATATGTGATTATACATGTGCTTTATATATATGAGAGTGTGCTACTGTATATGTATTTCCTATATCTATATATGTATTTGCATACATATATAAATATTAATTTACCAACAAAAGCATCAAGTCCCATGGAAGGAGCAATATATGTATAGGGTATTTAAAGTCTCTTGATAGCTAAAGAAAATGCATGATATACACCCAACTTTGGGCAATCGGGTGCCTGGATTAACCACTGGAATCACTATTGCAAATATGTAACAGCCAGTGGCAACTCTGCTATTGACAGGAGCAGAGGGCATGTAAAAGTCTGTACTGGAACTCAATGTGGAGCCGAAAAGACAGGTGAATAGCACACAAAGTCTCATGAACTGTTCTGATCCTACGTGGGATAAATAAATTGAGAAAAAAATCCATATGTTTTCCATGGGATTTCAACAGCAGTTAACATGGTATTATATTTATACTAATTTTGTTCATTGTATGTCTAGAGAACTTGTGAAGCGATATAGTATAAGAAACACAAAATTAGTACTGAGCCATGTCAACAGCTGTGATGCTTCAAAATGTATCTACTTTGCTGAAGTTGAGCCGACTTTGGCCTTGGAAGTCTCTGTGTTCCCCATGTGGACCCAGATACATTTTGCTATTTTCTGGTCTTTCTTTATAGTGAGTTATATATGATATGATGTCCAGCAGGTAACTGCTGTCCCTGGTCATCTCCTAGCAACTTCCCCAAGTTGTCTGTTTTGAAATTTATTCTAAGTTAAACATCTATCTGTATATAATAGAGAACAGATATCATCGAATTTCTGTGTATGTTTAATAAAAGTAAAAGCCTCATCTTATTTCTGCAAAGGCTAAAAGAAGTAAATAAAATTTTCTAGTTGATTCTTATGGTTGCTTTATTTTTATCCTTTTTTGGAAAAAAAAAGCCAAGCTATTACATATTTTCTTTTTGTAATTCTACCGAAATTTAATAATAATATATCAAAGATTTAAAACTTCAATATCTTACCCCCAAATTACTTAGAACAGTTCAAATTTTGGCAAAGCCTTATTGTTTACTTTCTTGCAAGTGGCTTTGGACTCAGGAAGTTCTGTGGATTTCTGTCCTTAGTATCACAAAAAGTTATACCCATAATTAGTCAACCTTGCTGTCCTAGAGTACAATTTGTTCCTTTGGGACCAAAGTTGTGAGGAAGGAAGGTCAATATGACCGTGGTCATCAGATTTTCTTCAGGTGATTAGGAAATAAATTTGGACACCAAGGTTTTGTTAAAAAAATTAATTCCCCTATTTATTTACTCAATAAATATTTCTGAATAGTCTGTATACTATGTATCTCTGGATGTTAATACTTCCTGTTTCATAGGTGAGTTGTCATAAAATAGGATAATAAGCTTTGCTACATAAATTAACTCTCCAATATAATTCAATTCAAAAGATTTTTTTGAGGGCAGCTGAGTACTCTAGGAATGTGGTATATAGAATGAACTCAGCTATATATGGAATGTGTTCAATTAATTAATTTTTCTGACCAATAGCTTAAGATACCTGGACTTTAATTGGGATTGACTATTTACCCTTTCTCTGATTTTTCTCCCTTTCTTGGTGATAACTGTCACTATGAATTGCTATAGTTTAATCATAGAACGTTTTAAGGACAATTTAAGTATTTGTAAGCTTGATAGTAATCTAGAGACCTTGAAAATTCAATGAAATTTTTTGCTATTTTTTTAATAGATAAATGACCAAAAAGTAAGGTACAAGTGAAAAACCTCATTAAGGTTTGTTGAATGAATTAGGTTCACTCTAAAACTATCCATAATACCAAAACAAAAGTGGAGAGCCCTCTTCCTATTTCTATCTTCATCTCCCCATAAACAGCTAAAATAAAGCCCGCTGAATTTTTTATTTAAATATATGGCTTTGTAGAAATAAACAGCCTAGCTAAATATGCATTTCAATGGGATTTTTTTCTATTTTTTTCTCTGTTAGTTCATCCCTGCCCAGATAATTAAATCCTTTTGTGAGGCATAGTTTATGATTGTATTTTCTGAATATTTGTCTTAAGAACTAAAAAACTGAGTATTTGAAAACTAAAGTCATATTAAAGTGATGTAAATCAAATTTCCACAAGAATATTTAAATAACTATTACCTGGCTAAAGGTGAAGGTCAGAACTTTAACTCCTAATTTGTAAATGTTGACATATTCTCCAAAAATATCAGTATTTATTTAATATTTCTGATTTTTTTCATGCATAAACCCTTTTCTCCACAACTACAACTCTATCAGTTTGAGATACATAGGGTTCAAATAAACCACTAGAAAATGGGATTGCTTCATGGATTATTGAAGTTATATTACAATTAAGATCTTTGATTTTCTTTAAGGGAGAGACTCTAGATAGGCTGACTAGACTCCAATGGATGACCTTGCACTGAAAGCCATCTGGATACAAATGCTTGACTGGAAAAGATTTAGCATATATGACAGATTTCATGAAATCCAGATTTTGGGGGGATGGGGATGGGGGATTTCAATGACAGGGGTGGTCTAAATTTGATTAAGATCTAATATACGAAATGCACAAAATTCAATACAAATATTTTAAAAGATATTTAATATCATATTTGTGATCACACATGGAGGGATGAATTCTGAAATTCAGAGAAAGCCACAGAATTTGTTTTGAATTTCTTTCCTCCTCTCTGTTGCTACTCCAAATAACAGAAATACCACCAAATAAATGTATTATTAGGTTGGCTTTTGTATAATTAAACATTACCAAAGTTTTGGGTTTTTCATAACTATCATTTCAACATTCTAAAAGCATTGGTGACACGATTAGTAGACAAATGCAGTAATATCTTTCACACCTTAAAAACAAGCATGGTATTTCTTAGCAACTATACTGATTCATAGCCATTATCCAGAGATATATTCTTCTGGTTGTCAGTCAACTGATTTTTTTACCTTTGCTTTTGTTAACCATCCTTTGATCAATTGTCAAGGGATAGCAATTCCAAAAGAGGGGAGGTGTTTAAAGGAAATTGAGATGACACATGTCTATCTAACAATAGGGCTATGCGAATCTCTTTTAGTAGAAGTTGAACTGAGGGAGATGTTGAAACTAATGGCAGTAATAGGAGATCACAAAATAATTACTATTCCCAAATCTAAGGTCAGTGCCTTTGTATTTGCTGCCCATTCTTTGTCTCCTTCCTTAGCCCCACTGTGATACTCGAACCAGATGAACAGAAATTGAAACATTTCTTTTAATGAAATGTTGAAACACTAATAGTTTCTCTGTAGTTGTCTTTTCCATATGAAATGGCTCCTTAGCCTTCATCAGTTTGAGATACCTCAGTCAGCTATTTGTAATAAGAAAATTTGTCACTGAGGTGTTCCAAACTCCACAAATTAGAGGTCTTATTTGCTGGAACATAGTAGAAAATAAAGCTGAAATGTTAAGACACTAATTTCTACTAAAGGATAAAGACCAATGGAATCCTATGTATCATGATCTACAGATGATAGAAACATTAACATGCTGATCATTGGATCTAAATATGATTATTATAATCTTTTTGTTAATAGAAATTCACTTTATCATAAATATTTCCAGCAAGTTTGAAGGGTTAGTAGCCTATATACTTTTATCATAAAGAGGTAAATTTATTATTTCATTTTAGAAAAACCTTCCAAAAAAGAAACTCATGGTTGGTAATAAAATCATGATTAAAATTCCCTAGTCTACTGATTACAGGGCAAGTTGAAAAGTCAAGTGTCTAGGTGAAAGGTTATGGTGGTGCTCGTGTATCAGTGAGTTCACTTAAAAAAAACTGACGAAAATAGAAATGATCTGAGACAAATGTTTTAGCTATAGAATGAAGAATATGAACAGATGTAAAATTGCTTAATTTAATTAATAAGTTTTGGCTATGAATAGTAATAATTTCTGCATTTGAATTAGAACAGATCCAATATAGGCAAAACTAATCACATATTTATGTTTAGGCTCAATGCTATCAAATTTTAAATTACTATCCTTGATCTATAAATTAATGCATTATGTTCATGGGTCAATAATGTTCCCAATTTAATAGTCTAGCTTCCATCATCATTAATCCACTGAGTAAGCTGTTTCACACTTTAGAACCCAACACCAACCTCAGTTAATTTTTAAACTGTTGAAATGTTTTGGAATTTGGAGTAAGAATAGAAATAAAAGTAAGAGAAATGTGTACTAACTGATAATTAGATTTTAGGCATGATAGCTTAGAGATAAAGTATGTGCATGTATGACTATTAAATAGATTTTGTAATATAAATTTAATTACAAAAGTTATAAAAATTAAAAAAAATATAGATATATTTAGCTCCATTATCCAAGAATCTGGAAATATTGGAGAAAAGTCCAGAGAAAGCATTGAAATCAGTGTATAATATTAACATATCTACTTAAAAGTTTCACACATCATTTTCTTATTTAACGTCTTTGTGATACTCAGTGTGTAGACAGACACTGGAAGAGGTACCGAGAAAACACAACTGATACTGGGTCCTTCCCAGGAACTTACAGTCTATTAGGAAAGGCAGCTATGGAAACAAGGGAGCTAAGAAGAAGCAAGGAATAGAAATCAAGAAACAATGTAGGTAATGAATGGAAATGCCCAGGAGAGTCCCCCCATTTTAGAGGGCGTTCCCTGACAAAATGAATTGTGGAACTGCCTGCCTCCAGCTAGAGGGGAAAACCTCATGAAAGATACCAACCAGTGACATATTGAATTAATCACAAAGAGCACTCACATTTACCTTAGTTTATAGAAACAGCATTTCTCATTTATTATTATTATTGAAAGTGTAATTCAGTGATCTTTAGGTAATAGAATGAGGGTGTTGTGATTAAAGGGAGAATTTCCATCCCAACTGGAG